GAAAGGAGGGGGTGGGGCGGGGGGGGTGGCTGCTGTTACATCCCATGCGGTAATTACGGCCCGCTCTGCAGCCGAACAAAACCCCCCCATGCCTTCAACTGCTCGCATTGTATCGCTAGCGCGGGCATTTGCATGGGCTCCCCGGCCGGCCAGCGGCTAATTGTCCCCAGCCAAACTTGATTGGGGCCATCGGCCGCCACAAAGGAGCCCCCGGCTAAATAAATAATGCGGATGACAAAGCCCCGGGGGGAGAAACAAAGGGACAATTCAAGAAACCTATCTCTGCCCTAGTCTCTTGCAAGGACTTTAATTATCCCAGGTTTGGGCAACATTCAAACCTTCCCCTCCACCTCCTCCTCTCCCTTCTTCTTTCCCCTCCCCGTTCCCTGCTGCATTTCAGAGCTCAAATGCCCGCTCGGGAAGAGCCCAAACTTTTCGGCTCTGCCGCCATCACTCCCCGTCTGCAGTAATTTCCACCGGCCATTTGCACCTAATTAGTACCGCGGGTAATTAGATTTGGAGGCAAGTAACAGATTTATTAGGCTTTCAAGAAACTCTTGATTACGCCGCTAAAGCTAAACAAACAGCTCGCTGCGCGGCAGCCCCCACCGGCCCGGCCAGGACGCCGGGGCCCCCGCTCGGCGCCGGAGGCTCCGCAGCTGCGGGGGGAGGCGACCCGCGTGTCCCCCCCGTTCCAAAAACCCCACGGGCTCCTCCAAGACAAGGCGGACAAAGGCACCAGCCCGCGGCTTAGCAGGGTCCCTCTTGCCGGTTCTACCCGAAAATTCTTTCTTCACTCGATTTTTCTTTTTTAAATTATTTTCCTCCCAAATTTTCGCTTCTTTCGCAGCGACCGCCGGAAAAAATATATATATATGCACATCGGAATTACAAAAACTTTCCCCCGCAACCACTCCCGAATTGCGCGTTTCATGCCACGAGTTCACAGAGGCAAAGCCGCGGAGACCTGCGCGCCCGCGGAAGGGCCCTGCGCGCCTCCCGCCCCATCCCAGCGCCCTCCTTCTTATGGGAATGCCCTGCCAAGCTTTGCCCGGGATGCGCGGGCGCGCACCTTGCGCGGGGAGCGCGGGGCCGCCCCGCGCCCAACGCCCCCCCGCCGCTCGCCTGCGCCGCGATGCCGCCTACCAGTTGCTCTGCCCTCGCTCGATAATAATTACCCCGTCCGAGAATTAATTATAATAAATGTTTTCTTGATAAACTAACGAGATAATCCGGGCGGCACACGCTCCCTAATTACGGCACCGCGGCCGCGGCTCCGCTCGGCGCTCGCGCTCATTAAACGCGAGGCGACAAAACGCGGCCGCGCTCCGCGGGGAAAGTTGGGGGCCTGGAGAGGGGAGTGGGGGGCGCAGAGTAGAGAGAGGAAATTGGGGGTTTTTCTTTTGCTTTTGCAAGCAAAACTTCAAATTTCCAGCCATTTTCAAATAGATATATATACATATATATATATATATATATATATATATCTTTTATTTATTTCCAGGGAGGGATGCGCCGCGTGCCGCAGTTTTCCCGGGCCCTGCGCAGCCGCCTGCCCCGTCGCTCCCCCAACTGCTTTTGAATTGCTTTTATATAAGTATCTATGCATATAGGAGCTGCATCATTTTAATGGTAATAATTAATAATAATAAAGCGCAGCTCCTCGCCGGCTCCCACGTGCAAATAAACCCCCGCAGCAAAGGAGCGCTGGGACTAGAGCAACTTGCGCGCTCGGACTTTGCCGGGCTCGGACTTGCGGCTCGGGCGGGCGGCGGGGCGCGCAGCGCAGCGCGTTATCCGCGGCCCCGCGCCCTTCGGAAGCGCCTTCCCGAGCCCGGGGACGACCAAGGAGGGGAGGAAAAAAAGACTCCGGCCCCAAACGCGTTTCCCCGTCTACTTTTAAAAATTTTAGCTATTTATTTATATTTGTTTACTAATTTCTCTTCGCGGCCACCTGGGCGAATTTACTTCGCTCCGCGGCCGCCTCGGGAGCTGGGGAGGCACCGCGGGAATTGAGACGCTTCTTCCCGTTTATTTGCGAAAGTCCCGGTGGGGACAGGGAAGAGTCAAAGCGCAAAGGATCAGGCCGGAAAAAAATATATATATATATATATGTGTGCGTATTTATTATATGCCCCCAAGGAAAAGGCGGCGAAGCGGCCACCGCGCGCGGAGCACCCGCGCCGACCTCCGCCTTCCACCCCCGGGGGACACGGGTGGGATAAATCGCGGGGAGAAAATCCACGGGAAGGGCCGCCCCGCCACCGCAATTAC